CCGCGCGCGCCAGGCCCCGCCCCCGCCCCGCCCCCGGCCCCGCCCGGCGCAGCGGTAGGGTCGCAGGTTCGCGCCGTCTCGGGGGAGCGTCTGTCCGGCGTCTCCCTGCGGTGCTCCCCGGGCGGTCACCCCACTCCCTCCTCCTTCCCGGCCTGGCCTCTCCGCTTCCGGGAGCTGATCCCGAGGGCGCGCTCAGGGGCCACGCGGAAGCTGAGCCGAAGGGGGCCGCGGGCGCCGCTGCGGAAATGTGATGCTGGGATCGATGCCCGGCGGGGAGCAGGGGGCGCGGCCGCGGGCGCTGGGCGCCCCCCGGGGCCACGTGACCCGCCGCCAACACCACCTGGTCCCCGCGCCGCCGCCTGCGGAAACCCAAATCCCTCGTCTCCACCCGCATCGCGTCCCCGGCGGCCAGGCCCGCTGTCCGCAGGGCCCCGTCCTGGCCCGAGGCGCGGGCCCTGCCCGGCTCCCCCGCACCGAGCCCGGGCTTCCTCGCCAGCTCCGGGCAGTCCTGGGCTCCTGGGCCTTCCCCGCCTCCGCCTGGCGCCCCTCCGTCCCCGGCCACCCCCGGAGCTCAGGACCCCGCGGATCCTGCTCGGGCGGGTCCTGAGGGCAGAGCGCCCCCGCGCAGCTCCCTGAGGTTACTCGGCGGCACCCAGGACCCCCGCCCTGCTTATGGGAAAACGGGGTTGGGGAGGGCCAAGGAGGTCCCGGGCGACGCACCCCGTCCGCTCGGCGCAGGCGGTTCCCCAGGACGCGCCGCAGCCGGGGGGACCTCGGGACGCCCCCGCAGCCGGAGGGGCCTCGCGACCCGCCGCAGCCGGAGGGACCGCCTCCCGGAGCGCAGAGACCGGCGCGGGCCGGTGGTGTCGTGAGCTGTGGACGCCACGCGGAGGCGGAGTGAGGAGCGACCCTCCCAGGGCAGTTGCGCTGCTTGAACCCCCCCAGCCTGTGGGGGACACGGCCGTGGGGCAGGCGGGAGACGGAGGCCCGGGAGGAGGCGAGCGGGGCGGAGGGGACACGCGGGAGGCGCGTTCTGAGGAAGGACCAGGCTGCCCTTGCTGGGAGGACGGGCCTCAGCGGCTCGCAGGTGGCCGGTGGGCAGGAGCCCCGAGTTCTGCAGGAGGGGCCTCGGGAACGCGGAGCAGAAGTCAGTGAGCGAGCGTATAAGAAGGGACGGAAGGTGGGCGCCACCGGGCCACGTGGGGCCGAGAGACACGCCATCGCCTGTTTTCTTTAAAATCAGCTTCACAGGTCGACGTCCCTAGAGAACCGGTCTGGTTTGGAAGGAGAGGCTGAGGACGCAGGCGGGGACTCCAAAGAATCGAGGCTCCCGGGAGGTGGGAAGTCCTGGACTCACAGGAGGTGCCCCAGGCAGCAAACGTGGGGAAGGGAGGCCTATGTCCCTACAGCCTGGGGACACCCGCAGCCTCGGGCTACCCACATTTCTCGGACGCCCACGTCCCTGGGACACCCACACCCCAGGACACCCACAGTTCTGGGATATCCACACCCTGGGGTACTCCGGGGACACCCACACCCCTGGAGGTGGCGAGAACAGAGCCAGTGACTGCCGGGATGAAAGCAGATTTGCATCAGAAAAGCCCTCAACACTTTGGGAGACTGAGGAGGGCGGGTCATGAGGTCAAGAAATCAAGACCATCCTCGCCAACGTGGTGAAAACCCGACTCTACTAAAAATAGAAAAATTAGCCAGGCCTGGTTGTGTGCATCTGTAGTCCCAGCTACTTGGGAGGTTGAGGCAGGAAAATCGCTTGAACCTGGGAGGTGGAGGTTGCAGTGAGCCAAGATGGCACCACTGCACTCCAGCCTGGGCAACAG